TATATAGGGGTCACGATTTTGCTCCCGAAACGGTTGGATTACATATCCTGGACGTAAAAGGTTGGATACCAAAAAGTTGTATTTCAGTCACATCTGCAACTTTGTCTTTCACAGTAAACCATGAAAATATCACGTAAATAAAAAGGTGTTTTCTTATTCATTGACAGTACCATCTTAAATGGATGAAAACTTGCTGATATTTAGTCATAAGAGATGAAAATCTCTGTCAAAATTTAGCCCAATGAGTCAAATACTACATCGGTTAATCAAAAAATTTTTTTATTAAGCCTATACATACATACCCCTCTGACGCCGAGGTCCACAATAACAATCTTACCATTAGCTTTTTTCTGCTTACTGAGTTATTCAGAAAAGCGAAAGAAATTCTCTAGTTACTTGTTTGTTGTTTCACACAATGTTGTCATTTCGTTAATAAATATGACAAAAAATGATAAAAAACTTAATGAAAAACAAATAAATAAATTTTTATTTGAGCAAACTCTGTTATACTCTCTGTCTTTGAAAAAATTACCTTCTTCTTAAAAAAAAACTTGATATAATTAACTTAGTGAGGTTATCAGAGAGATTTAAAGGTTTTTTAAAAAGATATTATACGAGGCTTTTTTGTTTAATGTATTAAATTTATTGATTTCTAAGTACAAGTTGAAAAAAAAATTCTTAATTAAATTATTTCGTAGTCTTAATTGATGAAAATACAAGTTACTCAACACATTATTAAATTTTTAATGGTGCCTATTTTTTATAATTAAACCGCTCGCACGTGATAGTACATATATACATATTTACATACTTGAGTTTAAAGAAAAAGAATAACGCAAAAGTAAGGAAAATTATCTCGTTTACAAATTAAAAAGGTCACTGTTTGAAGCAAAAGAGTAGCTTAGATATTACTGAAAAGATTAAGGTCATGCGTAGTTTAATTACATGTTATAAAATGGTACGTGTCAGCTAGATTTTCGAATGGATACCAAAGTTCACGCTCACATTTTATTCTTAACGGCACACACGTTTAACAAGGATATTACAGGGATTATAACTACTTGTCGATCTATATTCCAAGTTAAAAAAAAATTATGCTATTTAAAAAATATCAGAATCAATGATTAATGCAGAAAATCGTGTCACACTCTATAGTTAAAACTACCGTAAAAGTTTTGCAGCAGATTGCGTTTGTACTGTTGCAATTACTGTAGCCGCTGTACTTAAGGATGCTCAGATTTAATGTATAGTTGCTAATGCTGCTGGGGCTGTTGCATCAACTGTACCGGTGAATACAGTTGTTGCCAAAGCTGTTGCAGATGCATCAGATGCTCTCGTTCAAGCACATTTAATTGGAATCTACAATTATTCAAAAAAATCACCAAAATTTTTCTAATGCCGTTGTTTAAAGAATGTAATTAAAAAAAAAATTAATGACTAACTGTTATTTTTCTGGCAATTAGAAAAATTAATTATCAAAATGGTAAGAACTTAATCTGCGCGTTTTTAGTTAAATTAGAAGTTTAATTCTGACTCTTATTGTGTAATTATCTAATTGGCCCAATGGCGGTGCATTATAAACTTTTTCCGATGACTTACTTTTTTCTCTCAATTTGTAAGAATTTGAGTTTCTGTTTTACGTTTACATGATAGCGCTCTTTTAACGATAGGTCAAGTGTTAACTGAGCAATATTTACGACAAAATTAAATGTTCATTTTCATACTGGATTTCTTGGTAAAATTAATACACGATGTATGTATGAACAGTAATAAACCAAAGACGAAAGAATTTTTCTAGCCAACTAGCATATACTTTTATTTTTCTTTCCATGTTTTATTTATCTATACATCATGCTGTAGATACTGGTGATTTAACATTTTTCTTATTTTTAACGCAGTTTGTGACTTTTTTTATTTACCAATTTATCAGTATATACTTATTTTTAACAGCAATAAAAATAATACATTATGAGAACGTCTGCGTATCATGTTTTGAGTGAAAGTACGAGATGAAAGTTCCATATTTCAATGCTATTCACTTTGCATAAATTTTAAGGATCAAAATAAAATCTCGTATTACCTGGCGTAATCATTAGCAGCTAAATTCTCGTACAAAACGCTGACTCGAGTCAAAGGTGCCAGGGCTCCAGAGCTCGTGGGATGCGGCATCCGTTCCAAAACTCCATGCTGTTGAGTTGCCAGAAGGTATGGATGCTGCAATGGAATTTAATGCACTCGAGAAAAAAACATTGGCCGTCGGGGTATCGGTTTATGTAGCACCTGCTGACGGGGAACAAGCGTTTGCTGATGATAAAACGGAGGCAACGGCTTTTGCGGACCGTGTAATGGCAGCTCGCCTTGGAGCAATTCAGAGACACCGACGGCGCTCAACTGGCCTGTCGTTGCCGTGGATGGCAGCGATGTACTGTTTTTACCACCAGGGCTACTTTTGTTGTCTTTCTTAAACTTCATCCTACGATTCTGGAACCATATTTGCACCTGAAGTTCCGTAAGCTTCAATTTTTGCGCCACGAGAAATCGATGGGACCGGCTCAAATACTTAGTTGTCTCAAATATCCGTTCGAGCGAGATAATCTGCGGCGTTGTGAATATCGTCCTGTTCTTTTTCTTTGCACATTCGTCTAGTAAAAGCAGAACATGCATATTTAAAGTTTACAAATATTTATTTGACGCAAAATAATTATATAAGTATTATGTTTACCTTTCGGTTTCTGATCTTGCGGATGGTGCTCCTCAGCTACGTCATTTAGTTGTTCTGAATATCGCATCTCCATTATGTCCTGGACGAAATCTTAATACTTTAAAGTCAGTAGGTATATTATTTCAATTCCACAGAGGTACGGATCTTGAGAAAAGGCTCTGACGATTTAATGAACTTTATTGGCTACTATACGTAAGATCACGAAAGTTGATTTTTACTGACACTTCGAAGGTACAAGCTAGAATAGGAAGCCAACACTGAACTAACTTCTAAGGCAAGGACACACGGGCTTAAATACCCAAGTCGTTGTTACTTTCTTCTGTGAAAGAGATCGTAAATCCATTTGCTGTTCTCCCTTAGAAAGCGCTTAAAGTTTATTAGATTCTGTGAAATAATATCATTACCAATTAGCGCTGGCACTTATCTATGTAAAACTGACGATTACCGTATGACGAATACTGTGCGAGTAATGACTATAGCATAAGACTGTATCGACGTATATCCTTTCTGAGATCGCCCCTTTTTTCAATGGTGCAATTAAAATTTTTCTAACGTCCTTTTTTCCAAAAAATTCGTGCAAATTGATGTAAATAATACTATTTGTTAATATAATATCGAAAAAAATTTATAACTTTGTGTCTAACAAGATGACAAATTGTAGCATTGCTACTAAAGTTATATTTTTTGTATCCTAATGGCAAAGCAATGGAATAAAACAAAAATGTAATACAAGAAAAAAAAGCAATTAAAATGGTACGTTACGTGAATAGGGTAAAACGTACAAAGTAAGCGACCAAAAGGTTGTTGGTCACCGAGTCACATATAATGTTTTTTCTCATCGAGGGTAAAAAATGTCATTGCCTTCATTGGTGCGATGCAAACACCCAGAAGATGGTGCCGTACTCTCTCCCCGAGGTCCGTTATACAATTTTTTCCTTTTTTTTTGCCAAACACACCACGTTTTTCCATAATTACGGAAAGAAAAATGCAATGTAACCTTTTGGCTAGAAATCGCAGTTACTGCTCATTAGTAAAAGTTTTTTAGCACCCTCTGCGAGGATCTTGCCTCCCAAGACGTAGTCGAGAGAAGCAACGATGCATAAGATATAAAAATATTCTTCTTCCAACAGTTAGTAGTGTAAGTACAAGCAATTGTTTACCTGAGAAAAATTTAGCCATTATCTTCCTGAATACAGGGAACAAAATCGTACTTTAANAAAAAAAAAAAAAAAAAACTAGAGAGTTACAGAAAAAAGTTCAATGGGTAAAAAAGGCGGACAATTTAAGGACAAAAAAAATGAGCTCTAGCGGTATTGAATAGGTCAAGCCTTTTTTTCGTAATTTGCATAAGAAATGCCACTTTATACCGTTTTTTAAAAAATCTGTAACTCGCGTTCCCTTAAATATTAAGACTTGAAAATTTCATACAAGGTAGATCTTGTGCCACGTAACATCCGTACGAAATTTAAAAAAGATCGATTGCAAACTTTTTGTTCCGCAAAAAGTTTAACGTAACTAGCTTTTCAGCATATTGTCATTTTTCAAACTTCATTGTACTTGTCGACAGTTACTCTACAACCTACCAAAACGTCGTTCCGTTTGACATTTCGGAAGTTTGTGATAAATTGATGTCAAAAACTGGCTATTTTCCGCGGATGAGGAGGTGTGGCGAGCCGCCGTAGGCCATGCACAGCTACATCCAACTTTCTTGCGGAGGGACCATTTTTTGCTTCTTGGAGCTGTTTGCATATAGTTTACAACCGATCTTCCTCAAATTCAGTGTGGATGGTCAGGGACACAAGATCTACCTTGTATTTAATTTTCAATTCTTATGAATTAAAGGACCGCGATTTATCGATTTTTCAAAAAACGGTGCAAATTTGTACTTTTTTGCTAATTGCAAAAAAACGGCTGGACTGACGTTATTCTACTCGAGCTCATTTTTTTTGTCTTGAAATTGTGCACCATTATAACTCTTTTGTCCATCTCTCCAGTTTTTTTCTAGACGCGAAAAACCATTTTAGGCCACTGTTACTATTTTTTTGGTCAGTTAGCTGACACAATTTTGAGTCCAAAATTATTTAGAATTGTTCTAAAACAGCTCAACTATTACCCAGATTTTTTTCGCGTTAGAAGCAATTTTTTAAAAATGACCATGTATTTTTGCTAATTTTATCCTACTATAAGTCGTTATCATTGTTGTTTAAATTGGGTTGTTTAGTGCTTTTTCTATCGGTCACAGAATTAACAATGATAAATTGATGAAAATTTATTTACAAGTGATTACTGTCATGAAAATAGCGCTGTCATTATTTGAAGGTAAGGGAGGGTTCCTAGGAGTCAGGTAATTATTATTCATAGTTAGCGTATTTTTACATTTAGTTTTATAGGCTGTTGTCTTTTTAAGCGCTTCTATTGCATTTACCTTGCTTATTAACAATGAACTTTAGATGAAAATTTCATTAATGATAAAAAAGTATCTAATGGTTGTGTTTAATTTCATCGGACATCTCGAGGGTCCTTGTATAAGAAAAACTTAATTAATAACCAAGGTAAAAACTACAAAAGGTTACGTTCTTACAGGAGAGTGAGAAAGACAGACGACATACCAAGCTACAGAGAGCGTCGCACAGACGCATGTTATGCAGCGCCACCCTTGGTGTCAAAATCTTGCAACCGCGGGTACCCACTGTTACGGGGTGCAGGATGCGTATTAACGAGGCGGAGTCTCTTCGCTTCGACGGGGCCTGTGTTGCCCGGATACCCAACGGTGACACTTTCTGTAAAATATTTTGTGGGTCTCGTTCGCTGAGACACCGCTGCGGGATTAGGTATCGCGGCATCCTTGAACGTCGTCGCCTCTCGCGACGACTATAACACGGTACAACAGGGGATCGGGCACACACAGAAAGGAAGTAGCACTCGCAGGATTTTTTTTGTTAATTAAAATGTATATTCAGGGAATATGAAATAATTACAAAAAAGTATTTGCGGGTGTGTGTGTGTGTTCGTGTGTGCGTTTCCTCGCACGTCGAGCGCGCTTGCTCGACGGTCTCGCGGCGCGAAAACGCAAACCGGGCAGACCTACGCGAGCTAATCTAGGGCCGCTGCCCTTTACAATAAACTGCCTGTTGGCAGGTACTTACGGCGATGTGGGGTCGCTCCCCGACGATGCCTCTCGCAGGCTAAGTCTACACGGGAGCAGTGGAGCGGTTACGCT